CACTGCTGGAACATTTCAGTGTAAACTCTCCAAGTCTTCCAACTTCCAGGATACTTCACTAAAACCGACCCCTAAAATTGCTTCTATCCACAACCAGAGGCAGGTGCTGCAGTGAACACACAACTTTTGGGCACCTTGCTGCCTAGCAAAGCCGGCAGCCTGGAGTTAGCTGCCTAGATTTGGGTGCGAATGGGGAGAAATTGGCACAGAGGAGCAGCCGCCAACAGAAGCTGGGCGATCACCAAACTAACCAACACACAGAAATGTCCCTGTCTAACAGCAAAGGAGGGAATGGATTTTCTTTTAAAAAAACCCAAACACCAGTCCAGGCAGGAGTTTTGTAGCTAGGTCTTGCATGTGAAGGCAGTTCTAGGTACTACAGCCAAGAGCCAGGGACCTAACTGACCTTACTCTTCTCAGCAATTCCCCATTGACTACATCAGGCAGGTGGGACTTGCAGACATCCTCTTCGGGGGCTCTCCATGTCCTCCCTAGCAGGGATGGACAGCTTGGGGGAGCAAAACCTACTGATGCGAGCTTGGTCATTTGTGGATTCAGCCCCTACAAAAGTGTATATATCTATGGGGTTATGTGTGACAGAGCGCGTGCTCAGGGATCTAAATTTTATACCCAAGTCCCTGAAACGTGCAGTGCAGGATTTCAGTCCCTTCCTCTGGATACAGCCTGACACGAGACAACGCAACCGCAGGCTGCCTACCTGGCGTGGAACAGACATTACAGCATATGACATCACTGGAATTAGTGACCAACCCGCATTGCTACTGGAGTCTCTTCTCTTCCCATTATGCACTATTGTCCCCAGAAGTCTTCAGCTTCCTTCCTCCGCCACTACCTCTATCTCCCAGTTTGCAGAGGTGAGCTGGCAGCACTCCAGAGCCTGGCAGGCAGGAGCTGCCAGCTGGCCGTCTTAATTGTACCCTGATAAGGCTTCTCTGATAGACTCATTCCTCTCCGTTTGGGGAGAAGGGCTTGAAGAATCACCACCGAATTCAAGATCTTGCAATGTGCATGATATTTCTCCCACCACGCTGGCAGTCATTAGCACAGAACTTATTAGCACCTCTTCCATGCACCAGGTTTGTTTTGCACGCTTTGGGCCTTGTTTAGCCTAAATAACTTTACAGCACGTGGCAACTCTATTACAGAACTGCTTACCCATTTTTTTTTCTCCAAGTCATTAAATGCCACCCCAGTGATGTTTGTGCACAGCACAGTGGAACAGATATCACGACACATTACACTGACTTCTCTCAACCAGCTTTTAATTTATGACGGCATTTTTACTCCTCAGATCTGCTTTCAACCCTTGCTTTGCCTCAGTTCTTGCTTTGCTCTGCCTCAGCTCTCGCAAGCCACGTTATCAGCAGCTTTCAGATATTCAAATGCATTAAAGGAAGGTACTGAAAGCAGCTCCGGTAGTCACATTTTCCCAAAATCTCACCTTTCAGGTAACAAAAGATTCCCAGTGTAAGAAGGCAGCTGCAAACACAAGTCTAGTGTGACCAGCAGCCTTGTACCGGAACACGGAGGCAAGCCACCAACCTTCATCCCCAGCTGCTACATCCCCAGTACTGCCTCCGATGGAAGTGTTTCATGTCACCCTCAACATTATCTCTCTGAGCAGCGATAACTGCAATGGCTGAAATAAAAAGCAGAAGGGGAGTGAACCACTAAGGAGAGCTGAAAGTTTCCTCTGTTTCCCCCCACCTATAATGAAAGGTTTGCCGGCAAGCAAAGCAAGTGGAACGATGCTCGGTAAGAGAGAGTAGTTTTATTGACGTGGTTAAAGCAGCATCTATTCCCACTTTTCAGAGGGGAGTGACATACTTCAGAGATGCACTAGAAACCAGACAGTTACATTGGGATCCCAACCAAGAACTTTCTATCCCTGCCGCTGGGGTTACCAAGATAAACTGGTTATCAAGCCAAGACTATATGCTACCGTATGAACCTCAATAGGCGGCAGCAGCAATGCGGGACAGGTCAGCATCGCTCCCAAAAGGACAGGCTCACGGCTTTCCAGAGGTAAAAGCCCTTCTAGGTACGAGCCACCCTATAGCTGGAAGATTACTATATGGCTTCAGTTTTGAGATTTCTGCTAAAATCCTGTATTTCATCACTCCTGGGGAAATCTGCTAGAACTGGAAAAGAAATAAGGCTGGAGGAGCAGAGGCGGGGCTCAGCCTACCTGGAAGCTGCTGTTGCCACAAGCAACGCAAGCCTCGTGCAGCAAGGACCCAGCTGAGGGAAAGGAGGTGCTAGGCAGAGCTCAGGACTCACCTCGGGAGCACTAAGGGGCAGGCAGAGCAGTGGGACCACCTCCCAGGGACGCAAGAGCTGCTAAGCTGGCTCAGACAGACAGTCCGTCTAAGCCCAGGAATCAGTTTCCAGCACAGGATGAGGACAGAGGGGTTTGTGACCAGGGCAAGCGAGCAGCGATCCCTCCTCACAACGCTCTCCCAGCCTCTAGCAGTTCACAGCTCATGGATCTTCTGAGCCAGTTGTGTTTACCAGCCCTTATAGAAAACATTTTTCCCTTGTGCATACAGCTGGGTTTTCAACCTGTGTAAGCTCCTAGCATTCACCGTACCCTGCAGAAAGGAGTTTCACAGCAACCTACACCTTTTGTGCATTTGATGGGTCCAAGGAGATTTTTTGTTTTGTTTATTGGAAAACAGCAAGCAGTTGTTCCCTGTCCATCTTCTCCATGTCACTCACAATTTTACATGCAGTTATATTGCTCCTTTCCCCCAGTCTCTTTTCCAAGCTTCAAGAGACCGTGACTCTAGCTGTTCCTCTCACAGAAACCATTCTGTAAATTTGGATGTACTTCTCCTCCTCTGAATGTTTCCCAGTTTTCCAATCCTTATTCAGATGGAGGACACTAGAAACACAGTATTGAAGAAGCGCATGCACTGTCATTTTATACAGGGAGGTAGTAACATTCTCCCTTTTGCTGTCTAATAATTCCTTTCCTAATAGCACCTAGCATTTTTCTGAAAGACCCCGGAAAACTTCCCTCGGGTCCTGTATGTCAGGCAATCCAGAGACCTCACCACACAAACCTGGAGTGAGACGGACACATTCAAAGGCTCCTCCCTGCCCTAATTCACTGGGAAGCGTGGGGAAAAAGTAATTTTCAAGTATAGGGATATTTGGTTAATGGCTATTCAACACAAAAAGGCAACATCAAACAGAGTTGTAATAAATTAAACACGCAGATACATAAGCCCTAAAAAGCAGAAGATAACAGAGGCTGTAACAAAGACCAGGACTCCTGAGACACTGACAGATTGAACCATTACAGGAACCACTCAAGTGCAACCTTGAAGAGCTTCAGCCAGAAACTTCACAGCTGATAAGAAAGTAAAATTATCATGGGCTTTATGGGAAAGAGCAAATTTATTATGGGATGTTTGAGGGGAATTGTGGGACTGTGTAAAGTTTATCATGCAATGTTTTAAGGAGGATTATGGGAGCAAAACTCACTATGGGATGTTTAGGGGAAGGACTGAAGGAGGGTAAAGGGAGGCACCAAGCTAGATCAGGGAGAAGTGAGCATGGGAAATGGAGAGGAGGAATAAATAAAAGGGGCCAGTCACACGGAGACTGGCTGCTGGTCAGTGTGTTTGTCTGGCTGAGCCCTGCACCTGATTACCACCATCTGTCCTGGCCTCGTATTAAACTAATCCTAGCCATTCTCTCTGCATGCATGCGCATTTGTGATCTGCTAGCAAACTGCAAGCTGAACTAGCCTGTAAGTAGGGCAAGAGGTCTGAGCACCAGAGTACCGGATAGCCAGACAGGCAAGCCTGAGGACCAGCTACCAGAGATCCATGAAAGTGTGTGCACACAATCCACTAGCACGCTCTAGGTTTGATGGGCCAGCGAGTAAGAACAGGATTAGGCCATTTTTGCCATTCATGTTTTGCGAGTGCCGTTTGTGTTTTCCTGGGCACCCGCCACAGCACTTTTCTCTGCTTTCTGCTAATCAGTCTGCGTCTGGTTGCGTCTATAGTGTGTGTGCATGTGTCTGTAGGAGTATCTGGAGTTCCCGCTCAGCCTCACTGCTTGCTGAACCTGGTAACATGGGAAAGCAGCAGCCTCACACGTAGCAGACCGGGACCGAAAGGATTCCCTAGATCCTACAGTCCACTGCATTCAGCTGTCCTTAACACGAGACACTGGAATAGCACATCCAAGTTCTCCCATGAACCCAAAGCTTGGTGAGGAAAACAAATCAAGGGAAAGTCTCATGTGAGCCGAGCTAGCAAGACAATTATAGAACCAAGAGTTATGCTTCAGGTCTGTTACACACCCAACTCCACGCACACTGTGGTGGAACAGAAGCTGGAGAGCGCTCTTGGTAGAAAGCTTATTAATAAGCTGTCTCTAGAAAAAGATTTATTCACTAGAGAGCAGACCCAAAGAAGAGAGTATCAACTCACTGACAAGGGAAAGGGACCTGGGCTGACGTTTAAATAGAAGCAGCCCAGACCACTGCTTGTTATGTCTCAAGGAGAAGCAACCACATCCAGGTGAACAAAAAGGTGAAAAGAACGAACGTGATTGTACAGATCCAGGACCAGCAGCAATCCCTGCTGCAGTCTGGGAGGCCAAGAACCAAGAGGCTGCTGGAGACCAGCACAAGGGTGAAACGGGGACAATCACAACAGTGAACTGGACCAGCACACAGTGACAACAGGGAACTAGGGACCAGCACAGGACCACTGGCCTAGGAGCTCCAGCCCTGCCCTGACGAAGCTCTCTGCTGACAGGCACTACACAATACAATCTTCATCCAGGCAGCCAGGATTTCAGCTCCCACTGCTTCTTCACAAACATCCATGTCGCAGAGCGTAAGAACAGACACCAGAAACGCCAGAGCATCAGGTGGGAGTGGAAGGGGTTTCTGCTGCAGAGGAGTAAGGGGACACGGCAGAATTCTGTATTCCGTGTTCAAGGGAAAAGGACAAGACTTGAGCAAGAGTATAAAACTTTTAATGGGTCAGTGCATCAGTCCTTGATGCAGAGGGAAAGGAGCAAATGGGGCTATAGCTGTCCCAAGCGCTCAGTGCTGCAGAGATTATCTGCACAGAGCAGGAAAGACAAGGTGGTACACGCATAGCTGCAGCAGCCCCCAGCCTTTGCTCTCCAAGGAGGGGACCAACACCTGGAAAAGCAGTTCCTCTCACCGTCCAGTCGGTTTCACTCTATGCTTCTTCCTGGTAGGGACTTGAGGACGCATCATTTTGGGAGAAGGCTGGCCAGCCTTCAAGGGTCTCCTCTGTGCCTGCAATGAATGTCTCTTCTTCAAAGCAGGCTGTGGCGGCTTCTGCTCTTTGTCAACTTTTGACCCCTCAAGTTTCTTCTTTTTTAGCTGAGGCTCCATGACGGTATCAGGGACAGCGGACGGAGTTGCTGCTTCCACAGCAGGTTCTTCATCTGAAAAAAAGAGAGAAAGGTGCTCTAAGAAGAACCTGCACGACTTCTGCAGGGGAAGCAGCCTGCGAGAGCAGGCCCAGGCAGCTCAGCTGAGCTCCAGCACTAGGCTACCTTTTTGTGCCTGGGGGATGGCATTAGAGAATTTCTTGAACTTGGCAATGAAGAACCCATCCATGTTATGCGTGTGGGGATAGAAACGCCGCGTAGACTTGAGGGAGGGGTGGAAGCGACGGTCCTTGAACCTGGAGGAGGAAGTTGGGGTGAGAAGTGATAGAATGCCTCTGCTCAAACCTGGCCACCAAGGAACAGTCACCTGTGCAGCTTGTGACCTAGCACGCACCTGGTGAAGCCTTCCTTGCCAAAGTCCAGGCCTGTGGCCACCAAACGAACGTTGCGTTTCTTCAGGGCATAATCCACAACCCACTCATTCTCCTCCACCTGCCAGAGACTATGCATTAGGATACAAAGCTCACCAGTCCCCCGAGTAGGAGATGACCACAGCAGAGCATGGAAGGGACTTACCATGATGGAGCAAGTGCAGTAGACAATGTAACCCCCTGTCTCTGAGGCAGCATTGACTGAATCTATAGCGCTAAGAATCAGCTCCTTCTGCAGGTGAGCACAGCGCAGGATGTCTTTCTCATCCTGAAAGAGAAAAATAGGTTAGGATGCCAGAGGCACAGGGAAGCACTCCAGGCCTCTATTGTGGATGGAGGAATGACAGGAGAGCAAAGCACGTATGATATAGAAGATTCTGGAGTCTTCTACAGAACTAACCTCAAAAAACCTAGCTCTGGTACAACACACAGAATAGGAAAGAGAAGGAAAAGTCAGTGTCCCTATTGCAGGCATGTCTCAAGAACAAAGCTGCCCCGAAGTCCTTCCTCTCATGACTCAAACCTGAATCCCCATCTTGTGCCCCGCTGGTCACTCACCTTGTTGGTTTTGACAGCAGGATCCTTGGAAATGACGCCTGTTCCGCTACAAGGAGCGTCAAGCAAGACACGGTCGAACCCTCCAAGCACCTACAGGCAGATGTACATTTGGAATTACACTCACAGGTGGGGACTCAGAACAAGACCAAGACTAGAAGGGGAACCAGAAGACTGGGAAGGCAGGAAAGATCCCTCAATCCTCCCTGTCCACCTTCCTGTCTCCATATCAAATAACAAACGCTCCCCAGCAGCTCTACTCATCCTCCTGTGACAAGTGGCTTTGGAGAACACAGCTTTACTAAAGGGACAGCACAGCAGCTCTAGATAAGCATGGTAAGGACACCCCAAAGCAGGCAGGAACATACCTTGGGGAACTGGCGTCCATCGCAGTTACTCACTACAGCATTGGTGACTCCCAGCCGATGTAAGTTCCCTACCACGCTACGTAGCCGCTCAGCATTGCTGTCATTGGCCAAGATCATACCCGTGTTCTTCATAAGCTGAGCTGCACGAGGGCAAAACACATCAGCAAGGGGCTGAAAACCTCCTGCATTTTTGCCCGTAGGGACAGCCACCCTCCTCCTTTCCCCAAGTTCTGTCCCCCTCTGTTCCCCCTTTCTGTATAGGCCAATGGAAACTCATCACTTCACAGAGCATCCCTCCCAAGCCTCCCACCCAAGGCTACAGGGTGGTACCTATGTAGCTGGTCTTGCCTCCTGGGGCACAGCACATATCCAGGATGCGTTCGTTCTCCTGTGGAGCCAGAGCCATGACAGGGAGGAGACTGGAGGCTCCTTGCAGCATGTAGTGCCCAGCCAGATACTCAGGGGTGGCACCTGGGCAGGGAAGGCAGAACAAATGAAAATAACGTGAAAGAAAGGGAGCCAAGAGCAGGTCAGCTCAGCTCTGTGACAGGAAGGGCGACCTCACCGATGGGCACAGAGGAGTCATAAATAACAAGTCCCGTTTTCGACCACTTCCCCAAGGGGTCAAGATTCACACCACGGTTGATTAGAGCCTGCAAGACAAGAAGATGGGACTGAGACACCGCCCTGTGTGACAGGCAGTGCAGGAGAAAACCACAGGTTCCTGCTCACCTGCGCCAGATCCCGTCGCCGCGTCTTGAGTGTGTTGGTGCGAATGGTCACAGGGCGGGGAACCTCATTGGCTTCCAGGAAGTTTATCAGCTGGATGGAAGAAGGGACAGAGAACAGAGATAAAAATGAAGACCCAAGGAGGCAGCCAAATCCTCATCAGTCAGCAAAGATATGGGCAGGGCAGCATCCTACCTCAGGGAGTGGGAAGATGTCCATGAGCTTCATGAGCAAGAAGTCACTGTAGGAATAGTAGGCAGCCATGTCCCGGCGCAACAACGCGAGGTACTCCTGTCGCGTGCGTCCTTCCTCCCGCTTCACCACAAAGTCCTGCAGCACCTCCATGTTGCCCTTGATGCGCTGGTGAATGATGTGCAGGTCAGGTGGCTCAGCAGGTAGAAAGACCACTAAGGAATCATAAACAGCCAAGAAACTCGCACACAGGCTCTTTACAAGCACAATCAATCATGCAGGACTCCTGCATCACGACAGCACCCACACTAGAAACGCCTTGTTGGAATATGCTTTCATCAGAGCTCAGCAGAGGGGGGATTCAAAGGATGGAACTGGATGAAAAAGTTTACAAGGCAGGAACTACAAAGTATTTAAAAGGATTTGGTCAGTTACTTTAGATAAACAGAAAAAAAAAATGGAAAACGACAGTGACGACGACAACAAAAGTCTTTTAATACTGAAAACATTACCTGTAGCAGAAAGGAGACCAGAAGTTCCCCAAGGGCAACTAAGGGGTACGAATGAAAAGAGGCAGGATTAAATTGTACTAGGGGGGCAGGAAATTAAAATCACCAAAGCCCAAGAGCAAGCACTTTGGATGTTGGAATCGCTGTCATCAGAGGTTCTAGAAATGGGTTGGACAAACACCTGCCAGGAAAATCAGGGTACAGAGGAACGAACTACACGATAAGATATCCACATGCATTTAGGACTAGAAAAGAAATTGGGGCAGGCTCCAAGCTCCATACAGGGCATAACAGATTTCCTAACCATGCTGTACAGAAGCGCAACGTTGTATACTATCTATTAGGGCAGCTCATCTAAAAAATACCTTGTCATGCACAAAACGCTCTTGCTAAGTAATATTCATGATAAAGTCCAAATGAAGCTCTTTGGTTGTATCCAGGCCCTGTGCTGCTGCATGCATATGGCTTATGGATGCCACAGATAAAAAGGATATCCTCTCTCTCAATCTGTTCATTCGTTGGCAGTTTAAATTGTTCGTCTATATCCAGGTTGAGCTGCAGATCCGGGCTCTCTTCCTCCTTCTGTCCCATTTTCTGCCTGCTTGCCTCCTCTGCTGCCTCCTCCTCCTCCTCCTCTTCACTGTCATCTTCACTGAGGCCTCCCCTAAGGACGAAGAACAGGACGGATGTTTTACACAACAGTATCACACAGGCACTTCACAACTATCATTTCTTAGATAGCAGAGAGGACATAAGAACGAACAACGCAGGCTTCTCATCTAACCAGGAAAGACTCTGTGGACTGGCGATGTTCTCAAATCCTCACCTGTCAAACTTCTGCTTCAGGGCAGCTTTTTCAATAGGCAGCAACTAAACAGAGACAAAAGATTAATGAAACAATACCCCCAGGTGCCCCCTGACTTCCCGCCAACTGTGAAATTTCATCTGCTCTGCTTAAAAAGGACAACAAACAAAAGCACCGAATGTTACGCTGGGATCAGTTGCTAAACTTGAAATCGTTCTTGTGAAGGGAAGAAGGGGAAAGCTCTCTGCCACCTCACCATCCACCCCCCAGTAAAGTCACCCTTTTTCCCCAGGCCTGATGGGTCCTTTCAGCCAACAAAGTCAAATATTTCTTGCGTAATTAAGGGCAAAAAGCTCCTACCTCTTCTTCCTCTGATGATGAGGCACCATAATCATCCACCATCTCCTCGCTGCTCCCATTCTCCTCCTCCATCTCCCAGCTGCCCTCTTCCACCTCACCATCGCTGGATAACTCCACGTTGTTTCCTTTAGACGGGATTTTCTTGGCTTTGGCCAGCGCCAGCCATTTTGAATTGCCATCACTGAAGCCAGACCGGCCACGAGGGGTTTGTCCTGCTGCCTTTACGGCATGTTTCTCCTTCTGTGGGGATACCTGCTCTTTAACTACAGGCAAAATAAGTGGTTAAAAGTTAGGCATTATTCTCAAAGACAGCTGCCCTGTTTTTTTAGTTGTTATACAAAAGAGGCCTTCATCCTAGTCCTGAGCTGCCTGTCCAAGAGAAGGGACTGCTTGTTCTCCACATCAGTTTTCTCAATCATAAACAAGGGCATATTCTCACCTCTCCCCCAGTGAAACTTTAAAGAGACCTAACTACAAGTACCAAAGGAAAAACACAGGTACAAAATTCTTACGGTATTTGCTCTGACGTATTACGGTACCCTCCTTCCCAAATTTTTGCCTACCCTTCCTTCTTCCTACTGCAACAGCTTCCTAGGCTACGCAGGACATAACACAGCGAGCTTAAAAGCCTCAGCTACCCAACCTGCCTGCGATAACCTCGCCGTGAATGGAGAATAAGCCAGAACTAGCTTTAACACGTGGAAAAAGAGACCTTTTACTGGTTTGTTCTTCAGAAAGCACGGCTGGGACCAGAAATCAGGAAAAATTCGTCTAAAATAAAGAAATTCTACCTGTCCCGTACCATAAAAAAGAGGCCGAAGCCGGACGGTGGCGGGGGTGGTGGGGCACCCCGGGGGAGCAGTAGGGCAGGGTGGCTGCCGGCCCCCCGCCCCGGCTCGGCACTCACCTGCCGGCTCTCGCCCTCCTCCTCCTCCTCCGAGCGGC